TGTGGACAGCGCGTGCCCACCTTCGGACGGTCAGGGGCTGCAGGACCTGAACAAGCAGAGGCCGAAGTGCAGCCCAGTCTGACACGTCCTGGCCGCTCCCGTCCCAGCCTCCACACCAGGCCTGCAGCCCTCATCCCTTCTGCCTGCAGCCCACCCCCTCACCCCACGTCTTTTTTGTCTTCCAACCTTCCAGTCCCTCGAGAACCTTCTGCAGGGCAGCGCTGCTCCCCCGAGTGGTTCCCGTCACCGCACATCTGCATTAGTGCAACTTTAAAAGCAAACCAGCGGACCTTCCTCCCGACTCCACCTCCCCCCGGGCCATTCTGCAGGTCTCTGCTCCTCTTTGCAGCAAAACTCATGGAAAGCCCGCTCTGAGTTTTCTCCTGTCTTGGGTCCAAGCTGGGCATGTGAGCTCCCACCTCTCCACCAGAAACCACCTAGCGACCCTCACTCTGCCAAAGCCAGGGCCAGCTCTGCAGGGCCACAGCCTCCCACCACTGCCTGCAGGCATCGCTCTTCCGGGACCCCGCCTTCCTCTGGCTGCCAGGTCCTGGTCCGCTTCCTGCCACTCCAGCTGCCCCTCCCCCCACTCCCCTTCTGTTCTCTGCCCTCTTCCTTCTGACCTTTGGAGGCCAGGGCTCCGTCTTGAGCCACCTCTGCCCCTCTCTCCACAGCCCCTGCTACTCATCCCCTCTTTTTCTCATACCCTGAAGCCAAGCTGTTGCCTGTTTGCTTGGCATCCAGAATTCAGAGTCTGGGCCCTCCCCACCCCTCCGCTGTGCCCACCTGGCCCAAGCCCCCTCCGCTCTCACCTGGACCACGGCAGAAGCCTGCAGTCTGCCTCCTGGCCGCTGCCCATCTGTTCTCAGGCAGCAGCCAGGGCCTTGGGAGGTGAGTTGAACCACGACCCTCCCCTCTCAAGACCCTGGAGGAGCAGGAGGGAGCAGGTGCTAACATCCTCACTGCAGCCTAGAGGCCCTGCGTGGCCTGGCTCTGTGGGTGGTCAGCAGTCAGACCTCAGACCTCGTCTCCTGCCTCACACCCCCTGCCCCAGTATCCACGCCAGCCCACTGTGCCCCCCAGACTGGGTCCGCCCTCTGTCCGAACCCCCGACCCCACATCCACGTCACTTTCTTCCTTCAAGTCTTGGCTCAGGTGTCATCTTCCTGGCTGGCTCACCCCTCGAGTTCACAGAGCCCTCACACCCACGGCCTGCAGGGCACCCCGCTGTCCACTGGTCCCGGGGGAGGCTGCCGTCCACAGGGCAGGGCTCTGCTTTGTTCCCCGCCAGGGCCCTCGTCCGGAATGGTCCTGGCAATGGTACTGCAGGTGCTTGGTAAGCATTTCTTTTGGGGGACACAGATAAACAAAAGTGTGACAGATGGTCACCGCTCAAACCCAGACAGCCAACACCTCTCAGGGGCCCCACCTGACTCTGAAGGGGGCTCAGGGGCTGGGCTGCCACCATCCACCAGAGCCCGGAAGAGTCACGGTCTAGCAAAGTGAAAAGGCAGAGGACAGAGTCTGGAATCAAAGACGCCGACTTACTGGGGGTGAAGTGCCCTCAGGCAGACCCTCGCGGCCGGGGGGCCGGGGTCCAAGTCCCAGTGCACTTGATGTCTGTGTGGTGGGCACGTCTCCAGGGTGCTTGACCCTGCTTCGTCATCTGTGCAGGGAGGGCAGTGTCACCTCCTCTCTGGGGGCCCTTGTGAGGCCGGAACCAGGTTCCGCACACGGAGCGCTTAGAGCCACTCGGGCCCCGACCGCCATCCCTCCTCCCCGCCAGTCAGGGGATCAGAGGCCGGGAGATGGGTCCATCCCTTGCTGGCTCTGGGGAGCTGGCTGGACCCCCGCCTCCCCCACGCAGCCAGCCTCAGGCCAGAGCTCACAGGGAGGCCTCTCTCCCAAAGCCAGCTCTCGCTCCCTGCCCCCTACTCCTCCCACCCCCCCCCACTGCCTGGACCCCCTGCCCGTGGACAACATGCCCCATCTAGTTGCCAGCAGCTAAAGGAGGCTGAGCGCAGGCTGGCCTGGCTATGCCTGTGACTCCCCTAGGAGGGCCCCCCCTTCAAGTTCAGTCCCCCTGGATCCCCTGGAGAGGCCGGTGGGGGACGTTGGGGGAAAGCCCCACCGCTCTCCAGAGGGGACAGCTCCCAGGCCAGCCTCTGCTGGGAAGTCTCCTTTCAACTCCCCTCCAGCCACCAGGCAGTTGGTCACCAACTGGGTGTGGAGCCCAGAGAGGCCACTGGCCAGGCTGTGTGACTACAGAGTGACGTCTGTCGAGTCATTCAGTCAAGTTGGGCCAAAGTTTCTCCAAACAGAGGAGGGATTAAGAGGCCTCTGTCTATGGGAGTGCTGATTAGGGGGCCACAGACAAATAGACGGGAGGTGGGGTGGTGCCTGCAGGGCTGTGGGGCCCTGAGCTGCCCAACTGGGCCCCCTGCCCCTCCACCTGCGTCGGCTTGTTTTGCTGAACCTCCCAGGAGGGGACAGACCCCGAGCCCCTTCTGCTGCCGGGGCTGTAATGTCATCTCTGCACCCAGCTCAGTGCCCAGGAAAGGGGGCAACGGAGCCCAGCTCTCAGTGCTGTCGGAGCCTTGTGTGGTTGTAATCAGGCATCAACTCAGCGATTTGCGGAATTAATGGATTAAATCAGCGTGACCTCAGTGTAGCCAAAAAAATTTTTTTAAGGATTGAGATATGGGTTGCCTAGCGTTCATGGGACAGCCCGGGGCAGCAGGAATCGGAGGCAGGAAGGATCCTCAGCTTAAGGTGCTGGGGGATCCAGACCCTGTGCAGCTCCTGTGTCTCCACTTCACACCTGTGCTCGTGTGATGGTCACCATCTCTGTGACCTAGTGTCCGCACCAGCCATCTCCATGACTCCCTGGGCCCCGAGGCCCCCCGCCTCACCTGGGCAGCCCCTGCTTCCAGGTCTGTGCACGTGCTGTTCCCTCTGCTGCTCTAGACCTTCACCTCCAGCCCAAGGGGCGCCACCTCCAGGAAGCTACCCAGGTTGCTGCTTTCCTCAGTCACAGCCTTTTCTGGGTGTGTCTCCTTGTTGCGTGCGTGGCTTTGTCTCCCTTCACATGTCGGAACAGGACATCTGGGGACTTGTGTGGACGGGCCTGGATCTGGTGAGGGTTTCGAGGAGGCCCTGTCCCGCCTGCAAAAGGATGGAAAGGCCCTTGCACCTACAGGCACGCTCACCACCCTGGCGGCTGAGCTGGGCAGGGAGGAGCTCTCAGGGCAGCTGGGCGGCTGAGGCCATCGCTGGACCTAGACGGCTGTGCTCACCTGCAGGGGAGTTCACACAAGAGGAAGACGGAGGCCTCAGTTCCCCACGGGCTGCGGGTGGCACCTGCCAGTCACTTCTCAAGCGCCCAGCACTCACACCAGAGGCCGCTCATTACTCAGGGCCGGCGGGCAGACCTGCCCCAGTGAGAGGCTCCTGACCTGGGAGAGGGACGGAGGAAGCTGTGAGTGCCCACAGGACAGGGCTAGGGGCCACCACGGAATTCCCCACCTGGACTTGGGGAGGTTAAGTGGCCAGTCAAGGTCATGCCCTGGGACGGGCTGACTTTCACCCCTGCTCCTCCCAGACTCATCTGCTGTCCAGGGAGGACTCTGGCGGCTCCCAAGGGCTCGGTTCCCCCACTTGCGACGGGAACTTGGGGCAGAAGCTTGCTGAGGGCTCTTCCTCTCTGACAGCGAGGGCCGATGACCGCGTGGTTGGAGGGAAGGAAGGAACGCAATCTGGGTGCTCCGTTTCTCCTCCCACCACACAGGGGGCGCAGCAGCCCGCCTACAATTACTCACAGTCAAGATGCGAACCCGCAGGCAGAGTCCCGGGGCCTCGGAGGCCGCAGGGTCCACAGCTGGCCTCGCGGCGCCAAGGCGGCCGGTCCTCGCTGGCGTCTGCCGGTGCGCGCACATAAAAAAGGCTTTCCCCTCGCTCGTCCCGGTAACTCAGCCCCTCCCTGCGCCTGGACCTGGGG